TTCCTTTGCACTTACCTAAATATGTTCTATGAGCGAGTATATGGTCTATTTTGGAGAACGACCATGTGCAGCTGACAAGAATTTGTATTCTGATTTTGTGGGGTGAAACACTCTGTAAACATGTTAAGTTCATTTGTTCAAGAGTTTGAGTTGTAGTATTTCATTGATTATTTTTTTTCTAGTTGATCTATTTGTGACAATGGGGTATTGAGGTCCCCCACTACTACTGTATTAGTGCTTATTTGATTTTTCATGTCCATTAGTATTTGTTTTATATAGTTGGGTGCACTAGTGTTTGGTGCCTAGATATTTATGACTGTCATCTCTTCCTCTTGGATTGTTCCCTTACAAGGGTGTAGTGTCCTTCTTTTTCTCTCTTAGTCAGTGTTGGTTTGAAATCCACTTCAGGTGCAAAGAGGATAACTACTCCTGTTTTTTCTGGGTTCCTGTCACATGGAGTATTATATTCCACCCTTTAACTTTCAGTCTATGAGTTTCTTTTTGATTTAGGTGTGTGTCTTGTATGTAGCTTATTGTTGGATCTTGCTTCTTGACCCATTCTGCCAGTCTATTTCTTTTGATTGGTGAATTGAGATCATTAACATTGATGGTTATGACTGATATGTACTGACTTACCATTGTCATGACTTTTTGTGTTGGATCCTCCCCTTTTGCTTTAATTTCTTGTCATGCCCGACGGATTCATTCTGATGGGCTTCCTGGGGTTGTGAACCACATTGTCTTTTCCTAGGATTTTGTCTAAAATTTTTTGGAGTGCTGGTTTGGTATTCATGAAGTTCCCAAGGTGCTCTTTGTAATGAAAATATCTTATTTCTCCATCAATTTTGAAAGATACAGTTTGCAGGTATATCAATCTGGGTTGGAGATTTTTTTCTTTTAGGGCTTGAAATATATCACTCCTAGCTCTTCTTGCCTTGAGGGTTTCGGTTGAGAAGTCTGCTGCGATTCTGATGGGCTTTCCTTTGTATGTGATTTGTTCCTTTTCTCTAACTGCTTGTAGAATTTTGTTGTGTTGTGTTTCTGGAATCTTAACAATTATATGCCTATGTATATATTTTTTTTGATCAAGGGTTGTTGGAGTCCTACATGCCTCACTTACCTGTATGTCAAGTTCTTTTCCCCTGCTTGGGAAGTTTTCTACCATCACTTCTGTGAACAGTTTTTTTATGTCATCTGCACTCTCGCCTCTTTCTTCATTGACTCCAATCAGTCTTATGTTATTCTTCCTTGCATCATCTAGCAACTGCAGGATTGATTACTCATGGCCCCTTAAAATTTTAAGGAATTTTTTTTTTCCTGTTCACTAATTGTAATCTTATCTTCTGTATCTTAAATTCTGTCTTCACATTGGCTCATTCTGCTGCATAGACTTTCAATGGAGTTTTTAATCACCTGGAAATCTGTTTGCATCTGTTTTATGAATTCAATTTGTTTCCTATGTTGGGATTGCATCATGTTCCTCAGCTCCTCTATTTTTTTATCTGTATTCTCTCTAGATTTATTAATCATGTCTTTCACTATGGACACAATCTTAGCTTGTGAGAAATTATTTCTAATTCATTTTTTCCAGATCCTCTTTTGTTGCTAGTTCAGGGAGTCCAGGTGGTTGAGTATCACAGTGTTCCATCTTGTTTCCCTTTAGGGTTGCTGTAGGTGATCTGGAAGTCTGGTTCTGTGGCTTCTTTGCTTGTCGTCTCATTTTGACGTAGGGGTTGATGTGTGTGTGTTTGTTCCTGGCACCCATGCGCAGCTCACCTCCTCTGTGCTGGGAGCCGTGGCACACCTACCAAAAGTTTCCTCCTGCCTGGGAGCCGTGGCATGCCAACCTGGAAGTCTACTCTGAGCTGGGAGCCATGGCATTCCGACCTGGAAGTCTCCTATGTGCTGGGAGCCGTGGCCCACCGACCTGGAAGCCTTCTCTACTCTGGGAGCTGTGGCACGCCTACCCAGAAGCCTCTTCCTGCCTGGGAGTCATGGAGCACCTACCTGGAAGTCTCCTCTGGGCTGAGAGCTGTGGCATGCCGACCCGGAAGCCTCCTGTATGCTGGGAGCCGCGGCACACCTACCCGGAAGCCTCCTTCTGCCTGGGAGCCATGGCGCACCAACTTGGAAGTCTCCTCTGGGCTGGGAGCCATGGTATGCTGATCCGGAACCGATCTCATTCTTTTATAAGTTAGAAATCTATCTGGTACAAATTCATGAGGCTAAACTCAAGATATTGGCTGTTTCTAATCCTTTCTGGAAGTTCCTAAGGAGAGTCTTGTTTTCTTGCTTCTTCAAGTTTTCAGCAGAATTAAGTTTCCTAAGATTGTAGATCTGAGGTTATATATCCCAGCTCTTGAGCCACTCACATTCCTTGCCTCCTGGCCCCCTTCCTTAATAGTCACTGTTTTTAAAAGGCAAATGCATGATTCAGATATCTCCTGTCTCTTTCATCACATCTCTTTTACTTCGGCTGAGTAAGATTTTCTGCTTAAAAGGAGCTCATGTGTTTATACTGGGCATGCTTAGATAATCTCTCCATCTCAAGGTCTATAAATTTAAGAAATAATATGAAATCACTTGATTTATAAGGGAACATGTTAGGGCATAGGCATCTTTGATGGAGTGTTGGAGTATTATTTGTTGTACCACATCTGTCCAGAATATTTCTTTACCCATTATTAAGCAAAATTTATTTAAAATGTACCTTATTTGGATTGTCTTTAAATTTGGGGGGGGTGGTCTGATTTTTTTGAACTCTTTGTATATTCTAAATATTATTTCTTTGCCTGAGGCATAGCTGGTAAATTTTTTTTTCCTTCTGTGTGTTGTTTCTTGACTGTAGATTTCCAAAAATGATATATGAAATGAATAGTCCCTTCAGATGAAGAACTACAAACACCGAATACAAATAAAATGAAAAAAAAATGTTCAGCCTCACCGGTCATTTGAGAAATGCAAATTAAAACAACACTGAGATTCCATTTCACTGTAGAAAGAATGGGTATCATAAAGAAATCAACCAATAACAAATGCTGGCAGGGCTGTGGGGAAAAAGGAACCCTTCTCCACTGTTGTTGAGGTTGTAAATTGGTACAACCAGTATAGAAATCAGTATGGAATTTCCTCAAAAAACTAAAACTAGAGGTTCCATTTGACCCAAGTATTCCCCTTCTTGGTATCTCAAAACAGTTAAAAGCATCAACTTACGGTGATATATGCACACCCATTTAAAGCAGCGCAATTTGAAATAGCTAAATCTTGGAAACAGCCTAGATGCCCATTAATGGATGAATGGATGAAGAAAATTTGATTCTTATATACAATGTAGTACTACTCTTCCATAAAGAAGGATAAATGAGACATTTTTAGGTAAATGGATACACCTTGAGAGTGTACTTTTAAGTGAAATTAATCAGACACATGTTTAAATATCCTGTTGATTCTCTTATGTGAGATGCCAAAAGTGCAAGTAAGGACCAAAATGGATGATAGATTTTGGGAAGTAGGAAGAAATTTTTCAAAGAGGAAGAGGGATAAGGGAGGGGAGGGGGGAATGGAAAGGAGAAAAAGTAAAAAAAGAGAATGGAAGGAAAAAAACGGAAACAAAGCTTTTGTAAATGGGGAGGAAAGGAAAGGTTAAAGGGTGGGGAGGAGAATGGGAAGAAAAGAATTAAGATTTACTACATACGGGTACAAATTCCCTGTTATGAATGTGATCAATATATATGACAAGTATGTACTAATAAACGCAGTTTAAAAAATTAAAAAATAAAAAGAATGATGTTACCTTTGATATCTGAAAAAAATGTGTCTTATTTGAAGAGGATAATTAAGATCCTGTGACTTTTATGTAAATGATATAATAAATTTACTTTTTGAGACAATCAAGGAAGGACAGGAAACCTCAAGAGACTCATGGAGAAAATAAAGAAATTGGAGAAGTTCTATCACTTAGAGGAAATCATTGCATCTTAAATGTTTTGTCTTGTTACAGTGTTAAGCATTGTAATATCCAGAATAGTAGAATTTGGAGAAAATTGTTAAAATATTAGGAAAGAAGAAATGGGCTCTAACAAAGTTATAAATGAGCTATGTATTCATATTTTATTTTTTAAAAAATTAGAAAAGCTGCACAGACGTGGCATTATCATTATAAATATCTGAAATTGAACACTGTTAAAATAATCTTATCAAATTGTAAGTACTTTTTATTATGTATTAAACAGTTTTTTAACATATTAGACAGTTGATTGATAATACTTGTTTTTTATTATGCTTCATTAAAATCTATTTTGTTTGTTGCCATTTGTATATTGGCCATAGATTTATACTATCATTTTTAATTTACTGTATAAAAGACCTCATAACAATGATTGTAGATTATCATTTTAAAAATATAATATGGGGGCCGGGGATGTAGCTCAGTGGTTCTGCTGCCTGCCTTGCAAATGCAAGGATCCGAGTTCGATCCCCAGTACCAAAAAAAAAAAAAAAAAGAATAAAAATATAATACGATACTCTGTCTTTTAAATAAACTATAATTTTTTAGAATGAATATGCTATTTAACTTTTTTATCTTTGATTTATTTCATAGCTAAGAAATCTTTCCAGCTTAGACCTACGTCACATCACTGAATTGGATAATGAAACTGTGATGGAAATTGTCAAGAGGTGCAAAAATCTTAGCTCTCTCAATCTCTGTCTGAACTGGATCATAAATGACAGGTAATTGTTGGAACATCTTAAGAGTACTTTTGTAAAGGAAAATATAGCAAATATGAGCTACATTTATAACAAGGCATGTCAATGTTTAAGTAAAATTGAATGCTGCTTTGCTTTTTCAAATTGATATGCTTCAATTATGAATATCACCTAGATATATACTTTTGTTTTCATTGCTGAGGATTGAACCCAGGGTCTTGGGTGTGCTAGGCAAGTGGTCTACCACTGAGCTACATCCCTAGCTCTAGAGTTACAGTTTTAATGCATCCACTATTTATGAATGTAGCCAGATTTTTATGTGTGTTGATGCAAATGTGTGCCTAAATAATTATAACAGTAGTAGTTTGTTAAATTTTCTTGTTACCCACCCAGGATATATCGTTTGTCTTTATAATATTTTTGCAACTTTTCTTATTGATTTTGCTATTCACTTGTCATGGAAAATGATTCTGAAAAACTATCTCAAACATTATACATTTAGACCTTTTCTTAATGAACATCTTGTTCTCTGTGTAAATATACTTTGCTTTGGAAATGGAAGTGATGTGATGAAGTTTGATATATAGTGTTAAAATATCCAAAGTCCAAAACTTGTCTATAAATAATGATAGACCCTTTTTTATATATTGCACGAAGGAAGGAAAATTCTTCATAGTAGGCCTTTAAAAACATTGGCATGGCACCACTGGTTAGTTTAGGTCACTTTATAAACACAGGCATGAGTCAAGATTCTTGCCCACTAAATTTACAGGAATTTTTTTTTAAGATAGGCCACCAAGAAACTTCACACTTTCAAAATAGAAAGTACTATTTCTAGCTAATAGAACCTCTATAGATTGAAATGTTTTTTAAGTAGAAGTTTAAATTATAGATCAGATAATACTTTAAATGTAAAGCTGTCTTCCCCACTTTTAATTTCTTTTTTAGACTTTGAAAATAAAATCATATGGATTGCACTTTCCTCAATTTTGGGAAATTCAAATGATTTTTTTGATTGCCCAGAATTATTTAAATTATATAATAGCCTTGACTTTATTCCTTCTTAGTAAAAATTTTCTAGATTTTACTTTATTTATTTAAAAATTTTAACTTATACAGTATATAAAATTTATTCACATATATAAAATTTTAATTTATATGTAAAAATTATAAATATGGAGTACCCGTATGATGTTTCAATATATGTTTATATAATGTTTAAATCAGTTTGAATATGCCTGTCTCTTAAAAAATTTATCCATTTGTTAATGGTGGAAACATTCATGATCCTTTCATTTAGATTTATCATTATTTATAATTGCTGTTACTGTGCAGTAACACACCAGGACTTCTTGTTTCTGTCTGTGACTCAGTATCCATTGATAACCATTCCCTTGATTGATAATATTCTTAACTTTCAAGAGATCAGTTTTTTCAGATTCCATATATGAGGATCATCTAGCATCTGTCTTTCTGTGTTTGTCTTACTGCACTTAACATAATGATCTCTAGTTGCATACAAATTTCACAATTTTATGGGTTTTTTATGGATCAGTAGTATTCTATTAAGTACATGTACTGCATTTTGTTTATCCATTCATCACTTGATAGAAATTTAGGTTGATTCCATTTTCTTGGCTATTACGAATATGCTGCAAGGAACATGGAAGTGCAGATCTGTCTTTGACAATTTAATTTCCTTTGGATATGTATACATAATGTGGGATAGTTGGATAATATGGATGTCCTATTTTTAATTTTTTGTGGAACCTCTGTACTGTTTTCTATAATGACTATACTAACTGACATTCCTACCAATAGTTTGTAGGGGTTCCCTTTTCTCCACATCTCACCAGCAGTTGTTATCTGTTGCTTTTTGATATAGCTATTCTTACTGATGTGAAGTGATACCTCATTGTGGTTTTGATTTCTTAAATGATTAGTGATGTTGAGCATTTTTAATATACCTGTTGGTCATTTATATGTCTTCCTTTGAGAAATGTCTATTTCAGGCTATTGCCCATTTTTAAATTGCATTATTTTATTTAATTGTTTTTGTTGGTATTGAATTAAGTCCTTATATATTCTGAATATTTGTCCCTTGTTGTGTAGTTTGCAAATATTTTCTCCCATTCTGTGGGTTCTTTTCACTGTGATGATTGTTTCCTTTGCTCTGCAGAAGCTGTATAGTTTTGTGTAATCTCATTTTTTGTAAATTAGTGTTTGTTTCTTGTACTTTTGGAGTCTTGTCCAAAAAAATCTTTGCCCATTACAATGTCATGAAATATTTCCCTTATGATTTCTTATAGTGGTTTCTTAGTTTCAGGCCTCATGCTTAAGTGTTTGATCCCTAACTTTTTTTCCGTACATGTTTTCTAATATTTCAAAGTTTTGTATTTTCTTCAAAATTCACTGATGTACTATGGATGTGTGATTATCACTTATGAAAGGTTTTTATTATTTTACAGTAATACTCACCAAAGTACACTAAAATATAATGAAAATTGATCACAATTTAAAAATTCATTTTTTTCTGTATACAAGTAATTAACATTATTCTGTATAGACAATTATATGACAGTTTGTAGTAATCTTTAGGAAGCTTTTAATAAGAAATAATAAAATAAGAACATAAATAAACATTATCTTATGGTTTTAGTTTTTAACATTAACTTAATACTGAGGTAAATTTCTTAGTTTTGCTTTCAGTTAAAGGGATGACTTTTTCTGCAACAAAATGATTATATTCCATGACAGTTGTCTGTATATCTGACCTATATATCCTCACATTGTGACCTGTGGAAGAGTCAGTAACTGGAGAATACTGTAATTGGGAAATAAAAATTAGTCCATATATGATTATGTATATGGATTACTCCTAAGTAAACATTTGCATAGGTTTGTATCATTTTAACAGATATTCAGGGATTTCTAATCTTCAAGCTCTTTAAATGTTTAGTTGCCCATAATGGCTAATGTACTAATGAAAATATAGGCAGGATTCATATTCCCTTCCTTCCCTTTGTTAGGTGTTATGTACTCAAGCTTTTCATTGTTTCAATCATTTTTTTTCCTCCTACTTAACTGTAATGGTTATTTGGTGTTTGAACCTAAATATATGTATGAAGAGATTTATTTGCAAGAAATGAAAGTGTTATTTTTATGTGTTTATTGGAAAAGTTTGGATTAATTGAGAAAACATGCATTTTAATGAGGTTGAGCAGTAGAGTTTTAAAGATCAGACTCTTTTAGGTTTTAATTACCTACTTGCACTTATCCTGTGTACTGTAATAGAAGTTTCAAACATTAAAATCCACTTTGCAGTATCATCTAAATTACTCATCTCATTGTTCTTGCCATACTGTATTACTAAGCTAAGTAATATTTGTAATTATATTGGTATAAATCTAGCACTTCCCATCAGACTTAATTATAATTTCAGCACTTAGCTGAAATGGGTTAATAACCTTTAATATAGAGGGCACTGGGATGAACTAATGCATTTAGCCTATCAATTAGCTTCTGTTTTACATTTGTTCATTGTTATTATCCTTCAGTAAATCAGGAAGCATTTATTAACCTCCTACTAAATACTTGGCACTGTGTCTCAGACTGTGAGCACTGAGACCCTGTTGCTTTCAAAGGTCACTCCTCTTAGGTGACATATGACTTAATGATAATAATGAGCCTTGTAAGGATAGATGGGAAGAAAGAAACCTTTATTACCCAGGTAATTGATAGACACTTTACACATGTTCTCATTTGTGCCTTTCAATATCTTTTGTTCAAGGGAAGGTCATACTATTTCTGTTAAATTTAGACCATTTGTTTGACTTTTCTTTGGCTTTTCAATGGATGTACTTTTTGTCATTGTGTAATAAAAATTGGGTAAGGACAAACAAGAAAAAGTGAATGGCTCCTGATTCTATTTTTCATTTGATAGCTGCAATTCACACACAGTTGACGTTTATATGTAAAATTCTTAGTTTTTTTGTATTTACTGAGCTCATTTTTTTCAATAATAGAAACTGTGGATAATATTTTATATATAATACCTATTACAAGGATCTATATTTTATGTTGGTAGTTTTAAAAAAGGATTCCTCACATTAAAATTTGACGCTAGTCTCAGTTCTTCTTACATAAGGTTTATCCTAGGTTTTGAAAGTTATTGTCTATGAATATTATTTTTGAAGCTCAAAATTTAAAAATAGGTGATGATTGAACAACTTTTCTGTTATGCTAATGGTATATGTTAACATTTAGTCTTCCTGGAATTGATCTGTGTGACTAAGACATGCTGTTCTTTATCTTTGTTTTTCTAAAAGTACTTTTTATATTGAGAGAGTTAAACACCATGATATTTCCTTGTATTCAGAGGGATGGTCTAGTAGTCATTTGACATTTACCATTACTTTTGAATACAAATAAAATCTAAGTGTTTCATGAAAAGAGAACACTGACTGTTTCTATCAGTGCTTTAAATTAAACATCTGGTTATTATGTCTCTTCTACTCTCTCTGACTCTGTTTATTAAAATATTTATTTTTACTTGCTAAAATTTTTTTGTTATTTTATATCCAGTTGTGTCTGCAGCATTTTTGTATGTTTGACACAGAGTGTAAAAGTAGCATGTTTTGGGCCAGGGATTTACCTCATTGGTGCTATACCTGCTTTGCAAGCACAAGGTCCAGAGTTCGATCTCTGGTATGAAAAAAAAAAAAAGTAACATATTTTGGATATAAAAAGTTGATATGTAAAAACCTTAATGATTTTAAGCATCATCATAACAGTATGTTTAAAATGGCTTCCTATGGGCTTTTTTTTTATGCCAATAAGACTTGAAAGAAATCGTATTTTAAGAGATCTTAACAAAAGTTCTTTTTGAGTTTTAAAGCCACTATCAAACAGTCTTTCCATTTCAATTTTTAACATTGTTCCTGAAAAATATGAGTTCACTCCTATGATCTGTATACCTGTTATTAAATGGTCCTTTTATTGATAGTGGACCTTGCTTGCTTATG